TGCCATAGTTACAGGCAAAGAAAGGATAGGGTAGCTATCTAATATGCGATGTAAATACTCCCATGTTAGAAGTCCTGCATGAGTTATTCTCTAGATCGGTTCCTAAACAGCCCCAGAAACGGAGCAGCAGCGCAGCAGTGTTCCTGCAGCCGACCCAAGGCTGAACCAGATTCCCCTCAGCCGTCCTCAAGCACTGAAAGTTTTCCTAAATGTGATTGTAAACGATGCAAAAATAAAATCACAGCAGGGATCTGAAGACAGGCTGGGCTCCTGAAATGTAATGCTAATTTTTCTCCAAAAAAATTTAAAAAGATGATGGTATTTTTGACCTTACTGCAACTCTATCTCAGACATGGAGGTTAGCATGATAAGAGACCTGGTGTTGGATATCCATCGATTTTATTTCTGTTAAATTCTCAGCAACATCAAAACAATATATATATCCTGATCAGCAGGATAACGAAGGGTTTTCTTACACTTACCGACTCTTTTCTCCAGAACATTCCCTTGCTGAGCCAGTTTAATGGCATGAATATAGCTGAAGGAGACGCCGTAGCCCAACATTTCACAGTAGATCGCTCTCACCATGATCTCCTTCATCTGCCTCTGAATCAGATCAGAAATAAGGAACTAATTCAGAAAGAGGATTGAGCTGTAGAGGAAAAGATGACAGGAAAACAAGCAAACGAATACCATAGTGGTGTTAGGGGAAGACACTTGTTCTTTAATCAGCAAAAGCTCCCGCTGGATAAGTTTCTCTTCCTCCTGCAGAGAGCGAGAGAAGAAAAGGTAACATAGTGTGATGATAATCCCCTTCATTTATCAGTGCGTTTGTTATTTCCAATTAAATGTGTCTTCTGTATTTAACCGATAATTTTGAATTCATTAAGAAAAGCTTTTGGGTTAAATGAAAAGTTTGAGCCTTCTGCTACGTTCACACCGGACGCGCTTTGAGCAGCAGAAGCAGCAGATTTACTGTTAAAGTCTATGGTTGGCGTGCATCAAGGCGCATCAAAAGGTATCTAGAGCAGCAGGATATCTGAAGGCAGGATGGTAATCTGGAGGAACTGACTGCACAGACCATGTTTTCAGGAGGACTTTCTCACTTCAAAATAGATTCAAACTACTTTTTACCCGCTGATCACAGCAGATATAGCAAAGCCGCTCTCTGGCGTTGAACACAGGAGCAGCAGAACACCACTGTCAGACTGCTGAATGTTGAATAAAACAGGAAAACAAAAAAAAATCACTGAATGTTGGGAAAAGCTGCAAATCATAACTCAGTCTGATTGAAATGTCTTGAGAGATGTACTGAACGAAATCTGGACGAAATCTGTACAAATCTAAAAGTCTAAGTTGGTGAAGATTCTCAGTCATTCCGAAAGAAAAACGAAAAAATGAAAAACAATCATCTGGATTTTGTTTCAAAGTTTGAAGACGTTTCTCTTCCATCCAGGAAACTTTTTAAATTCAAAATGTCAGAAATAGCGTTTAGTTCCAGGTTTTATACAGTAGTCCATCAAAGCCTGGTTTTAGTTTAGAAAACATGCAAAGTAGAGAGGCATGATATTG